TTTTATTATTTTCAGGTATGATGAGGTTAACAGGTCAGGAGACCATTGCCGTTGAAAAGATAGTTTGTTACAGTTCCCCAGAGGAAGGGGCACAGCCCACCAGGCAGGGCCACACGGGGAAGCACCAGGGTTGGTCAGGAGGTAGAAGGAGCAAGGGGAGCGGTGGACAAGAACCTTTGTTATGGTTTTCTTGGGAAGGAATTGGATGGGTAAGGTAAGCAGGCTAAGCAGGTTTAGGATTGGCTACTCTGAATAATTGCAGTGGGCTCTGCTAGCAGTCTGATAGCTTTCCCCAGGATGATCAGGGCAGGGGGATAGTGGCCCAGAAGGTAAGAGCCCAACAAAGGACAATAAAGGAACCCAATAAAGGTCCAGGTGTGGGCTCTGGAATGCTTAGTTTGCATATGAAAGGCATGCTCACAGGAGAGTGGTTTGCTAATTTCTAGGAACTGGCCAGCTCTGGAAAGAGAAGTTCCTTCGTGGTTAGCAAGGCACCTGATGTCAAAGCATCAGAAATACAGAAAATAAAAAGGAGTGATTAATACAGGTTAGAACTATACAAGAGCCTGGGAGCTAGAGGCAGGTGGCCTGGGGTCACAGATCAGCGCGGTCCTGGAGAAACCTTGAAACATGTCCCTGAGTTCCCCTTAGTTTCTGAGGAGCTGTATGTAAGCTCTCTACTTACCGGTCCCCCTGCTCTAATCAGGTCCACTCATGGTTGGCTCAAGCCTATACCCTCCAATCTATTCTTCGCTCAGCAGTCAGGGTAATATTTTGAAACATAAACCATCCCCAGCTCAGCTCTTCCCACTCTGCTCTGGCTGTACTTGTCTCCATGCAGTTCCAGAATAGGTCAAGCTTGTTCTGACCTCAGCGTCTACAACTCACTGCTTCCTCTGCCTCTACTACACATAACTAGTGACTCACATTTAAAGTCTCGGGTTTAACACCACTTCCACAGAGAGGCCTTTCCCAAGTACTCTACTTAAATAGGCAGCCCTCTCTTCGTTATTCTTTTTCAGCAGATCTTATTCACATGTTTCATAACACTAACAATTTATAATTACATACATATGCATAATTCACTATTGTATATAAGCTTTCTATATCCTGGCTGATTTTCTGCCTAGTTGTTATCAAGTACACATTTTATTTTATTAAATTTTATAATATTAAAATATTTATTTTTCTACAATATTTATAATGATGTGATATATGATATAGTATGCACGCCTACATATGGTTTATTTACTTGTTTATTTCTGTCTCCCACGCTAAGAGCAGGGGCTACATCAGATTTAATCTCCAATAACTTCCCAGATCCTCACATAGAGCCTGGCATGTAGTAAATGATCAAAATCTACTTGTTAGATAAATAAAGCCTGGGTATTAATAAATATTGCCCCATATAAGTGTACTCATATAATAGCATGCCTGAAAATAACTTACAAATTTTATTTTGCACTCAGTAACTTGAGTGTAATATATATTTAAATATTCTTACCAATTCTCATTTTTGTTTTGGCCAACAACATGATATGAGGGAGATAGACATTTTTCAAAGGCTGTAATGGACTCGCATAATCAGTGTTTGATGAAGAAAATTCTATTGTCTCTCCAAAAGTTAACATCTGCAAAAGAAACATCATAATGAGTAACTAGCTAATGTGGTCTGGAATAAGAAAAAAACAAACAACAGAATAATAAGTTTCTAAATCTTGCGGACACAAAAGCACTCTCACCTGTTCAATAAGAATGTTGTGAGACTGAGTCAACAAATTTAATTTTTCTGTTTTTGAAGAGGGAGTTTCTTTGAATTTCTCAGCTTTTGTTAAGTCATCCAGCAAAAGCATGCTTCTCACCAGGGTTAAAGAAGATCGGGGAGACATAAACTCTCTTCCTTCAAGCAAATGTATTATGGCCTGTTAAAATAAAATGATTCCTTTTGATCGTACTGTTTGCAATTCACTGAAACAAGGGCTGGCCATATTGGCTGTTATGTATTCAGTACCTAATGGAATTGAAAATCCTCTCATTTTGTTCTAACCAGAATCCTTCGGCAAATATCAATGTGAATGAAGGTTCCTACCTGAAGGTTTGTTATGATGTCTGCCTTTAAGTGCTTTTCTTGCAGGCCAATGATTACAGCTTGCATCAAGAATTCAGCCTGCAGCTCCCTGTCGCCTGCACTTTTTGCTTCCA